CATGATTCAATTATTAGAAACAAAATCTAAGATATACTATTAAAAAAATAGTATCCAAACACTAAATTATATCAAACTGAAAATTGTTATCGGTTTAGATTTTGCGTCAGCCTTATTTTTAGATCTTGCGATGTAATTGTTGGTTTGTAGCTAAGTTTTCAGACGAATCATGTTTTCTAGTTTCTAATAATTTAAAATCATAATTCAAAAGAAGAAAAATATTATTCTCATATGTTGTTGATTCGGTACAGAATCCTTAAAAGAAATTAACTGAAAATTTCTCCCAAGCTCAAACTTCGAGATGGCCATCGGTTTGAAGAGCGAAACGATTCTCCATCGCCGACCCTCCGTTTCCGACATGGGATCCATCTAATTCACTGCGACTCTCTTGCTCTTCGTGTCATTCCAAACTCTCCCGAAGAGTTTTCCGTCGTGTATATGCACTAACAAGATCTACTCCGTCTTCATCACCTCTTTCTCCATGGTGTTTGCGACCGAGCCTCTGCGATTGATGCTGGCCTCTTCTTCTACTCCGGCATTACTCGCAGTTTCTGTCTTCGAGATGATGGCCCGAACGCAGCCGAGCCCGTCTCTTCCCCCAGAACCGCCGGATCCACTAGACCTTTCTTCTGCATCCTCGCCTTCTCATTCCGCCTCCAAGACCTCCCACCACCGTCTTCTTACGCCGATAACTTTTCTAGATTTGACCGACACCAAATCTAGAAGCTCGGATTGCTCTCGAAGGTTGATGTTGCTATCTCCCGATTGCATCTCCCTCTGTCTCCGTTCTCGAGATCCTGCGTCTCATCTCCACTCTCGGAGGATGATGTGCCCATCATCTTCTCCTTCTCCCTCGCCGAGATCCCATGTCGATTTCTATGGCCCATCTAATCACTCTCTCGTCGGTCAAGACCTTGACTCCAGCAAGGATGTCTACTTATCTCTGGACCCCAGTGTCCCGCCATCCTTCCTGGCGAGGAATCAATTGTAACGCCCGTGAACCAAAAAATGTGATTTTTGGGCTGTGCGTCGATTGACGCAGTGTGTGTCGATCGACACAGTGTTTCGACTTGTGAGAATTCGCGAATTCGGGTATTGCGTCGATCGACCCAGGGTGTGTGTGACGATCGACACAAGCTAGAATTGAACCGGATTGGTTCGATTTTGGGCGTCGATTTGGCTCGGTTTAGGGAGAAGCCCTAGAGTTTGCCTATAAAAGGGTGGCAGCCGAGTTGTGTTGCATTTTTAGTCGTTTTTTGAGTTCCAGAAAAATTCCACAGAGTTTCCAGTGAGTTTTGAGTGAGGATTTGAGAGAAAAAGAGGAATCATCATTGATTTCTTCGAGTTCTTGATCCTAAAAGCTCTGGTGTGTGGTTGTGAGGCTCTGGAGATCATTTCTGATGGGTTGGATTCACGATTTGGAGAGGATTCAGATTGGAGATCTGCGTTCTTCGTGTTCTTCGCGTTCTTCGTGAAATTCCATCCTTTTTCCTTCCAGAATCGAGGTGAGTGCGTGACCATAGGCTTATCTGGGTAAAGGAATAGGTAGAATGCGATTGCTTGTGTTTGTTTGGTGGATTTCGTGTTGTATTTGGTGGATTTGTGCAGGAGATCAAAGCGATGCGATCAGGAATCGATCCGTGAGAGGATAGGTTCGATTCCTGAGTTCTGCGTCGTACGTCGATCGACACAACGTGCA